TCTCGCTGCCCAGGCGGGTCTCGAACCCGCGGGCTCAGGCAATCCACTCACCTCAGCCTCCCAAAGGCGCGGGATTACAGGCTGAGCCACCGAGCCCGGCAGATTGTTTAATTCTTAAAGATCAGTTATTATGTTTTATTTTACATTTTTGAAATTGAAATAATTTTGATTTTAAAGATGTGGAGTACAATGCAGTGTTAGGTATCCAAATGGTTATTGTACAGGTAAAGTTTGGGTCTCACTTTGGTCCCCAATTCACCTGGTTTGAGATCAGGTACCCTTATTGATGAAGTGTACCCCCCCCCCAGCAGTTTCCCACTACTGCCAATCCCTTTCTTATAGTATTATAATAATTGTTCAGGGTCTGCTTATGAGTGAGAAAATGTGGTCATCAGTTCTTTGTTTCTGTGATAGATCACTGAGTATTATACAGTAGTTCTATATGGGCAAAGGGGATAAACTTTACAAATATTATATTCTTTAGATTTTTTTTGAAAAAGATATGGATAATATGTTTGTAGTTAACCAAGTGTGAATTGGTAAAAGTAAAGAAAAAAACTGCATAAAAAGTATCATATTTTTGCCAGTCTTGGAGGCAGACCTCTATTCCATTCAAGTCTACTCAGGATTTGGATGGGTCAAGTAAGTTCTAGGCCACCTTTAGTTTGAATGGAAAGTTTATAGTATTAGATACATTTGTAACAGTGCCCTTGCTTGCAAATATAACAAAATACATAGACTGAATATCTTCTAAACAACAAAAATTTATTTCTCACAGTTTTGAAATCTAGGAAGTCCAAGGGCAAGGCACAACAGATCTGTCTAGTGAGGGCTCAATTCCTGGTTCAAGGATGGTGCCTTTTCACTGTCTCTACATGATGCAAAAGTCAAAAAAGCTCCCATAGACCTCTTTTATCAGGGTACTAATCTCATTCAGGAGGTCTTCACCCTCATGTCATAATTCTCCCACTCACAGAAGGCTTCACTTCCAATTATCATTATCTTAGGGGTTAAGATTTCAACATATAAATTTTGGGGGAATACAAATATTCAGACCATACTAGCTTGAAATCCATCTTTTTTCCTTGTAAATACATGTGGCTTTGGGCAAGTCATTAGCCTCTGACACTGTTTCCTTAATATCATGGGAATTAACCAAATGCTATTTATTTAGCATTTAAATAGTACCAGTGACAGTTTTAGGTAATAGGATAAAAATGAATAGCTCGGCCGAGTTCGGTGGCTCAGTTTGTAATCCCAGCACTTTGGGAGGCCAAGGCGAGTGAATTGCCTGAGTCTGCAGCTTTGAGACCAACCCGGGCAACTTGGTGAGACCATGTCTCTACAGTAAATCCAAAATTAACTGGACATTGTAGCGCACTGCTGTAATTCCGGCTACCTGGAAGGCTGAGGCAGAAGAATTGCTGGAGCTCAACAGGTCCACGCAGGGGTGTCCGGGAGCATGCCACTGCACTCCAGCCTAGGTGACAGAGTGAGACTCCAACTCAAAAAAAAAAAAGAATAACTCATAAGGAAAATGGAAATATTAAATACGAAATTTGTAGGGCATCTATTAGGGTAGCTAGCAGAAAATAAGCACCTTGTTATGTTCATTATCATTATGCTAATTAAACATGTTATTTTGCATATACTATTCTGCATAATAGATTATAACATTCTAAGTTTTAAAGTAAGCAATTAATGGCCGGGCTCAGTGGCTCAGCCTGTAATCCCGCGCCTTGGAGAGGCTGAGGTGAGTGAATTGCCTGAGCCTGTGGGTTCGAGACCCGCCTGGGCAACTTGGTGAGACCTCATCTCTACAATACATCAAAAAACTAGCCAGGTGTGGTAGCGCGCGCCTGTAGTTCCAGCTACTTGGAAGGCTGAGGTGGAAGGATCGCCGGAGCCCAGCAGATCGAGGCTGCGGTGGCCGGGAGCGGCCACTGCAATCCAGCCTGGGTGACAGTGAGACTCCAACTCAAAAAAAAAAAAAAGAAATTAATGGTACTATTAAAAACAAATTGAGGAAACAAAATAGTTTATGGCTAAAATTAAACAAATATACATTTGCTTTAAAATTATAGTCTTCATCCCTATATCAAAGAAATGAATTAAACCAGAAAAAAAATAATGAATTTCAAAATGTTGTTGTATGAGGTGTAATTTGTGATTACCTGAAATTGATTACCTGAAATGAAAATTGTAACACTGCATTTTTAATTGCAGAAACATGGAGCATCTCTTGACAATTTTCATTTCATAGGTATAAGCTTAGGGGCTCATATTAGTGGATTTGTTGGAAAGATATTTTATGGTCAACTTGGAAGAATAACAGGTAAAACTATTTTTTATAAAATTATTGTTTATAGCATACTTTTAAGCATTAGAAATTACTTTATTTAAAAGGTAACAGGTACAATAATTAAGTAAAAATATTTACAACCATGGATTTTTTTCTATATTTATTCAGATATTAGTTTTTGTTTTAGTTAGATTCTTAAGTCTTGTTAATTTCTTAACAGTGCTTAAATTACTCAGAGATGGATGAGAAAGGTCTATTTCTGCAATTCCATCTAAATTTTAAAGATACATTATTGTAAAACAGAGACCAATTTTATCCATTAAATAAAAAATACTTCATAAATAGCTAGCAATATAATTATACTTCAGTTTTACAACTTTGATGTGTTTCAATTCTTCAATTTTCCTTGACTGCTAGAAGAGAATTATAAGTTTGTATTCAAGCCTGAGGGGTTCTGAATCCCAATTATCTTTATATTTCTATAACAAAGTTATGGCATACAAGAAACATAGTAGCCAAATAATGCTGACATGGATGTTCATTCTTCCTTTTAGGAGTGGTAGTAATTTTAGAAATAAAAGGATATCTCTCTCCAACAAATATTGATATTTGTGTCCATAGAAAATTTATAATAATTCCAAGTGTTGATAAGAGGTAATAGTCTTTGATTTTTCAAAAATAAAAATAAATAAATAAATAAATAAAAATAATGAGAAGGGGAGAGAGGTGAATAATATAATATTTAGGATCTTTACAAACCTTAAGTAAAATCTGCCTTACTTTGATCGATTTAATATTATCTTCACAATACATATGTGAAAACTGAGGTTAATTAGGTGAATGTAGGAGTGTCAAAAGTAAAAGCTATGCCAGAATTTATACACAGGTCTTTAGTACCTGAAACCCATTCTTTCAACAACTTCACTTGCTCAATTTAACTGATGGTAATCCTATTTTATTTTAAGTCGTGTTTACACATATTAGTCCAGTCTGAAAGATCTTAAATACCAGGTGACCATCAGGGTTTAAAATGTCAACAAAAGTGGAGATTCTACCTCAGAATAATTTACAGAAAGAGAGAAATTTCTGTCTCAGTCAAGTGGACTAAATAAATTAGGGTTAATAGAAGGATCTGAGATAAACAACATTATATTTTACTTTAAAAAATATTTTATGAAGATGATTGTTCCTTCTGTTGCACAGATATTCTCAAGAAACAGACTTTTATCACCCACCCTTTTGACACTTCCCCTGAACGTTTTGGGTCTAGAATTTTTATTTAAAATTTAAGATATTCCAGAAATAATATCCATAATTCATGGAAATTTAAATATATTTTTTTCTTAATACTGTGTGAGGAACTCTTCTGAGAAATACATGAAAAGATAAATACAAATATTTTTTATCTTATACACACACAATATCCAGAGTGAGCTAGTAAGTTACAGAGTTCAGGGGAGAACCAGATGATAAATATTATTATTATTATTTTGTTCAGAAGCATTAAATATAAATATAAATTTACTACTGATTTACTTTTAATTACTTCCTAAATAAAAATGCTCCAAAAAAAAATCCTACAATATTTTTCTGAGTATTCTCTAGTGTAGCCTAGCTTTAAAGCGTCTGATGTTTAGTAATAAATATTATTCAAATAATTAAGATACTTGCTATCTTCTACTTTCATTTATCTTTAGATTTGTTTTTGAACTGGTTTAAACTAAAATTATAAATGCTCATTATGTTTATAGGGTAATAATAAACAAGAATGCAATATAATGAACACTGTAGGGTTGTTTAGATTGATTATTTCTTTCTTGCATTTTAGGTCTTGACCCAGCTGGGCCAAAATTTTCTGGAAAACCACCATATAGCAGATTAGATTACACTGATGCAAAATTTGTGGATGTCATTCATTCTGATTCCAATGGTAAAAATGCAAAACTTATTTCCTAATTATTTGAAAATGAAAATGTAGATATTGAGGAAGAGAAGAACTTATTATTAGAAAGAATTATGATAATTGTTTTTTAAACCTGTAATCAAAGAATGATAGTCCCCACCTGCAATATTTCTTGGGATTAGTGATTTCTAGTATTGTCAAAGATACTCTTCGTCTTCAGCTTGCTTCCTTCAGGTTTCAAGAAGTGTCACGTCACCCTAAAACGTTGAAATAGGCAAATAAAAGCTCATCCAGTTTGTGGTATTGACAGTTTTATCGATTTCATCACATTTCATCACATTTAATGTTCCTGATATATTTAGGTTACCATTGCCTTCACTCATTTCCTCACTGTGACGTATACCAACTAGAACTGAGCACAGCATTTCAGCCACAGATAAAGAACTGTTTTTCCTAAATGTGGGAGTAATTTCTCTATGGTTTTTAATTATCGTACCCAAAAATCTCTAACAGTATATTAGGGTTTTTACCAGAGTACATTGAACAGACACTTTCAAGGATTAGACTGTCCTGATGCCTTTTCTGATTTGAATCTCGTAATACTAATACTTATTGAGCACTTCCTATAAGTTAAGAAGTGTTTTAAGTGTTTTTTTGGTGAACTAAGTACCTAAGTTCCCATGAGATAGATAATCATAACCATTTCCTTTATATAGGCGAGGAAATTAGAGTCAAGGTCATAAGGCCAGTAAGCAGCAGAACCAGAATTTGAAATATCTTTTGATTGTGGGGTCTGCCCTTAAACAATGTGTTATTCTGATGTACTAAATCAGAAAAACAGTGAAAAAATGTGTTACAGTTGTGGACGTGGGGAAGGTATGGTGCTAAAATAGAGACAAGAGGAAGTAACCTCCTTTTTGGGGGTGGTTGGAGTCTCACTCTGTCGCCCAGACTGGAGTGCAGTGGCCGCTCCCGGCCACCGCAGCCTCGACCTGCTGGGCTCTGGCGATCCTCCCGCCTCAGCCTTCCAAGTAGCGGAATTACAGGCATGCACTACCACACCCAGCTAATTTTTTGATTTATTGTAGAGATGAGGTCTCGCTGCCCAGGCAGGTATCGAAGCCGCGGGCTCAGGCAATCCACTCACCTCAGCCTCCCAAAGGCATGGGATTACAGACTGAGCCACCGAGCCCGGCGTAACCCCCTTTTTTTAATATTAAAGATGTGGAGTACAATTCAGGGTTAGGTATACAAAAGTTCATTATGCAGGTACACTTGATGATGAGGTATGCCCCTCCCTCAACTGGCAGTTTCCCTCAACTGCCAATCCCCTCTCCCTAGCAGTTTCCCACTACTGCCAATCCCTTTCTTATAGTATTATGATAATTGTTCAAGATTCGCTTGAGTGAGAACATATGGTACTCTATTCTTTCATTCTGTGATAGATCACTGAGTTTGATTGACTCTAAATCCATCCAAGTTGCTACAAAGTCCATGTTTGTCCTTCTTTATGGCTGCATAATATTCCATTGTGTATATGTATCACATTTTATAAAACCAGTCCAACTGGGATGGGCAGCATGATTGGTTCCAAGTTTTTGCTATTGTGAATAGACCTCCAACAAACATGTGTTGCAGGTATCTTTTTTGCAGAATGATTTTAGTTCCTCTGGGTATATTCCCAATAGGGGAATTGCTGAGTCATATGGAAAGTCAATTTCTAGTTCTTTCAGAGATAGCCACACTGTCTTACAAAGAGGTTGCACTAATTTACATTCCTACCAGCAGTGTAGAAGTGTTTCTTTTTGTCCACATCTTCGCCAGCATCTGTTGTTGTTTGTTTTATTAATGATGGCCATTCTTACTGGGGTTAGTTGGTGTCTCAATGTGGTTTTGGTTTGCATTTCTGTGATGATTAGTGAGGCTGAGTACTTTTTCATGTGTCTGTTGGCTGCCCATATATCTTCTTTTGAGAAGTGTCTATTGATGTCTTTTGCCCACTTTTATAATGAGGCTGTTTGTTTTTTTCCTTTCGGCGCATTTGAGTTCCTTGTAGATCCTAGATGTTAGACCTTTGTCAGATGTACAGTTGACAAATATTATTTCCCATTCTATGGGCTGTCTCCCTGCTTTCTTGATGGTTTCTTTTGCTTTTCAGAATCTCGTCAGTTTGATGAGGTCCCACTTATCTATCTTATTTCTTATAGTATGGGCAGTTAGGAATTGGTTGCTAGTTCCAATTTCCATAAGTGTGTCTCCTGTATTTTCTAAGATTCTTATAGTTTGAGGTTTTGCATTAAGGTCTTTGATCCATTTCAAGTTAATTTTTCCTCAGGTGTTTTTTTCTCTTTAAACTAGGTAATATAATTGCTCCATGTAGCTGTGAATTTATCTTGTAGTGATCCATACCAGTTTTGTTTAGTTTGGGGGGTTTTTTTGGTGAGATCTATAAATGCCATGAATTAGACAATTTTTCAACCTTCATGACCACATGTCATTTGACTGTGACTTTAATGGGAACCATTCTTCCCTTTATTTAGAAACTAGGTTTACCTACTTCTTATAAGAAATCAGTTTCAAAAGAGTCATAGTTTTAATAACTCTAACTTCAGTTTTGCCTATGGCTTTTTGAATAAGCTCTTCATACAAGCTATTATTTTTGTTTGCATTTTTTACTTATCCTAATAGACTGTCTTATATTCTCCACATCTTTTGATCACTCAACTTACCTGATATAATCTGTTACTAGATGACGTATAGCTGGCACCTTTGATTTACCTTTTTATGATTACAAAATAAGAAACATGGATTTTTGACTCTGCATATGCCCTTCTCACAAAGAATTTCTGAATGAGATACTTGGGCTCAGCATATACCTGGCAGACTTACTTTTCCGTGAATGCCAAAAAAGAAACCTGCATCTTCTACTTGCTAATAATCCTTGTTATTATTTATTTTGGGATTAGTTAATTTGGATAAATATTCTTCCCGAGACATTGGAGAAAAATTACCAGTCCAATATCCAAAAGATAGAAAAAAATCCAGATGATGAATTTCTAATTTGGAATCACTTTTTTCATGGAAGGTTTTCTGAAGCAGAGTCTGGGAAGTGCTTTTGAAACCCTCATATAGGAGTTGCACAACATCCCAACCTTTACTCTTGTTTGGGACCCCAAACAACAGGACTACAGGCATAAAGGTGAACCTAAAATCAACTGTGTATTACTTATTAAAGGAATGTATAAAAGCAAGAAACCAAAATGTTTGACAGTACAAGTGATAAACAATAAAGCATGCAATTATCATCCCCCAAATCATAGTAAATCCATATTGACTTAGACAAAAAAGTTTGATTTTTTATCACAAAACTAGGAGAAATATGTAGACTTCAAAATAATTACATTTTCAACTCACCATGAAGATATAACAATTCCAGTTTGTATGTGCCTAATAATATGACTTCAAAATACATAGTGCAATATTGACAGTAACACATTGCAAAAAAATGCAATTGCACAATCATAGTGAGAAATTTTAGTGAATCCAGTTGATCTAATGGACACTTTTAGAACATTACACCTGAACACTGCAGAATTTACAGTCTTTGAAGACACGCATGGATATTTTACCAAAACTGAGCATACACTGGGCTCTAACAATATTCTTAAACATTTCAAAGTGTAGAAATTGTAGAGTAACATTCTCTATCTTCAATTCAATTAATCCACAAATAAATAATTAAAATAACTAAAATCAATATATTTTGTAAGCTGAAGAACACATTTTAAATAATTCTGAAAATAAATAATAATAGAAATATAAAACATTTTGAACTGAATAACATTTGTTATTGTATATCAAAATTTGAATTCTTCAAAAGCCATGTCAGAAGTAAATGTATAACTTTTAATGCAGCTATGTTAAAAAGCTGCAAATCAATAATATAAGCATCTATCTTGAGAAATTAAGAATTAAACATAAGACAAATATGTAGAAATGGAGAAATAAAAAATTATTGAACATACAAAAGAAATTAATAGAATAAAAATATAAATTACAGCTGCCTTAAAAAGTCAAAATTTGTACTTTGGAAAAGACAAAATTAAGTAATTAGTATTTAAAAATTTATTTGTTACTTTTACCTTATTTCTATATAGTAAAAGGAACATAGAATGCTTAAAGTTTGTATATGATCTAAAATTAATAAATTATTCGAGAGAAAATAAGGACAAGGAAAGACAACACACTAGTAACAATAATTAAGTGATTCTGTTTCAGTCATTTGAATACTGAAGTTGGAAAAAATCTCTCTGACTCATAAAATACAAAATTATTTCCTTATGATGTGCATAATATGAAAGGAAAATAGTTTATAAGCTATTTTTGAAAATCTTCATAACATTGTGATATAGAATCATATTTTTCCAAAGTACATAAAAATTCTTAACCTCAATGAATATTAAAATGTCTGACTATATTAAAGTTGAAAATGTCATTTAAAAAACACTTTAAGAAAACAAGCAACAAGCCAAAAAAAAGGGGGAAAGGGCAAAAAAAGAGATAAAGAACAGCTGTCAGTCAATAATACAGACAAAGATATTCTAGTTAAAAAAAAATCGAGACTTGAACAGACACTTTACAAAAGAGAAGTTCTTAATAGGCAATAAACATATGAAAAGTTTTTAAAGGAAGAAAAAAATGTAAATTAAAATCCCAATGAAATGACACATTCTCAATACCAAAAAGCCTGATGACCATTTATTGGCAAAGATGTAGTACAATCACTTTAATAAACTCTTCATCATCATTTATTAAAATAAAATATATTCATAATTCTTTAGCCAATAATTTTACTCCTAGGTATGTACTCCTAGATATACCTTCACATATGCCTTAATAATTTGCTCAAGAATGCTCATAGTATTACATATTAGTCCCAATTTGAAAACAACACAAATGTCTACCAGTAGGAGAATCAATAAATAAGTTGTGGTATGTTCATAAAGCAAAATACCATGAAGCAATGAATGACTTCATTTACACCTGACAATGT